ACCCGCCTGAGTGGGTGTTCATGGACCCGGGACTGCCCCACGGGGACTGGGTCCAGGGGAACAAAACGCAGCAGCCCCCACTGTGCCTGGCTGTAGGCACAGGAGATTTGGGGTCCCCCCTCCCTGGCTCAGCACCCGGAGCCGTGGGGTGCTCCCACACCACGGACTCTCTGCTCTTTTCACAGCGCTCCGACCCCCGCCTGCTCTCCCAGTTCTTTTTTGCCGATGAGAGGGTGACACGGGTGGTGGCTGAGATCAATGGGCTGGATGCCGAGCTCGACCCACAGCAGTACCTGGTCCTCCTTAACCAGCTCCACCTCAGCCAGGTACGGGGGCAGCCTGGACCCCGGTGTGACCCCAGTCCCCCTGGCTGGCTGTGGGTGACGTCCCTGCCCCCCCAGGCTCACCTGCTGGCCATCCTGGAGCGGATCATGGAGGAGTGCATCCCCACGCAACGGCACAGCCGTGACTACCTGGTCAAGTTCCCCGAGGAACTCTTGGTGGACAATCTGGGGAACCACATGCTGTTTGCCGCCGAGGTGAGCCCGGGGATGCTGTCCTTGGGTGGGCGATGGGGTCTGGCTCCCCCAGGCTGGGAGGCAATGGCAGGCAGGGTGCTGCACCCCACCATGGGCTGACCCTGGGGGTAGGGACTGTGCTGCCCGAGGCGCTGGCTCCTGATGGCCCCCGGTCCCGGCAGTGTCTCCTGGCTGGGACCTTCCTGGAGGTGGAGGAGGCGGATGGGGCGCAGCTGCGGCCCCAGGCCAGGAACCTGCTGTGCAGCCTGGAGCTGGTGCGGACGGTGCTGCGGGAGCAGAGCCTGAGCCAGCCTGGCTCCTACCCTGAGCCCGTCCGGGCTGTGCTCGTCCAGTTTGACCGGCTCTTCGCAGAGTTCGAGCTGAGGTGGGGGCCGTGATTGGGGTGCTGGGGTGGGGAGGGGCTGTGCCAGGGATGGAGGAGCCTCACGGTCCCCCTGGGTCTCCAGCTATGTGTCCTCGCTGGTGGCGGTGAAGTCTCCTGAGGAGATCTACAGGCAGCAGGAGATCATCGTGCTCTTCTGTGAGACAGTGGAGAGGTGAGGGGGCACTGTGCACAAGGTGGGTGGAGGCAGGGACCCCAGCCCTGGGGACAGGGCAGTGTCCCAGGGCTTGGCCCCGTTGTGAAGGTCTCCCCCTCGACAGAGCCCTGCGCCTCGGCTACCTGACCCAGGAGATGATCGATGGCTACGAACCGCTGCTGATGTTCACCATCCCTCGCCTGGCCATTATCAGGTGGGTGCAGCCCCCTTAGGGGTGGCTGGGTGCTCCCCACCCTGGACCAGCCCCTTTTCCCCTCGGGCAGTTGGGGTCCTGGGCAGCCCCCCCCATGCGAACCCACCAGGTGTCCCCTCGCAGTGGTCTCCTCATCTACCCCGAGGGTCCCCTCAGTCTGGAGCAGAGGCCCGAGCAGATGTCACGGGTCTTCAGCCCCTTCTACAACCTCCTGAAGAAGATCAGGTATGCTGCAGGGGGCAATGGGCACCCGCGGGTGGGACTGTGGGGCAGCAGTGGGGCCGTGACGTGGGGCTGACGCCGTCCCCTCACTGCAGGGACCTGCTGCGGGTGCTGTCGGCGGAGGAGCTCGGCCTGCTGGAGAGGAGTCTGTGCACAGCGGAATCGGAGGATCCCTGTGGTCCGGCCACCCCTCCAGCTTGGGGGGCAGCCGTGCCCAGAGCGGACTCCCCTGCTCCCTGGGGTCTCCTGGAGGTCCCCCACACCACCCCACCGCCCCCCACCTGCATGGCACAGCTGGGACCCCCCAGTGTGGTGAATGACCTGGGCACCGACCGGTGGTGGGGGTATGTGGCAGGGCAGGAATGGGGCCAGGATGGCAGATCCCTGCTTGCTGGGACAGGGACATTTTGTGCCACCTCTGGGCTAACCGTCACCTCCGCCCTGTGCAGCCCCCAGCCCCCCAGGAGCAGCCCAGGGCTCGATGCCACCCCGGCTGCCCACTGCTCGGAACTGCGGTCCCGACACAGCAGCACCAAGGACATGCTGCACACCCTCTTCGTCTGCATCTCAGGTAAACCTCCTGCAGCACCCTGACACCCCCCCAGCACACTGACCGCCACACACCCCCTCCCATCGCAGGGGTGGCCGATCAGCTCCAGACCAACTTTGCCAGTGACCTACGGAGCATCTTGAAAACGGTCTTCAAGATCGTGGCCTCGCAGGCGGAGCCCTTGGAGGAGCCGAGTGCCAGCCGTGAGTAATCCCCAAGGACACGAGGGACGGCTCCTCTCTGCCCTGCAGATCATCCCTCCCGGGTGAGACGAGGCTGCAGCCCCAGGCGTGGGGATGACGTGGTCACAGTGCCCATCCCCATGAGGCTGAGCCCAGCCCCAGTTTGGCTGGACCACCACAGCCCTTGTCCCCGCAGAGGAAGAGGACGGTGCGCCAGATGCTCCTCGCGTGGCCGACTGTCCCCTGTGCTCCAGCCCCACGGAGGCTCCCGGGCACCGGAGGGCCGGTAAGGGGCTGCCCGGTCTGCCACAGCTCTGGGGCAGGGTGCGAGGCTGGGGCTGATCCTGCCCCCACGCTGCCTGGGGGGGTCTGGCTGCCCTGGGCACCTGTTTCATTTCATTCTGACCTCTTTTTATGGCAATAACTGCTAAAAGGAAAACAAATGTTCGTAGGGATCTGCTTTGTTCTGCCTTTACATGTGGAGCACACAAGGGGCCTTTTCATGCAGAAAAATGCATAAATCACTCTCCTAGTTTTACTTATGGGAATGCAGCATTTTCATATTAGAGAAATACAGCCAGTAACGAGATGCACAGACATCCGACAAAGAAGAGTAGGGATTTCAGAAAAAAAAAAAGGAGACACGACTCAGATATTAGCCAAAATGAAGCAGGAACCTCATGAGGAAATGTGATTATAGGAATTATGCAGAGAAAACATTTCACGTGTATATACAGGGGCAGATTCTCAGCAGCTATAAGCAGATGTACCTTTACTCATTTTCAGAGACATGTACTTCAAGAAGTCTGTTCGGTGATCATCTTGGGATCATTTAAGTAGTGGCTGCCTCTTTGCCCCTCTTCCTCCTTTTTTTTGTGCTAATTTTACTGGTCCTGAAAATATACCCAACAGAAAAGTAATTTTTTAATTGTTTTTTACAGGGTCAGCTTCAGCTGGAACAGCCAACCATCAGACACACTGGGTGATGCAAAACCACTCATACTGATGCAGGGAGGTAGGTGGAACACCTGAAAGGGGTGAGAGAGAAGGTGGAAGCAGCCCACAGCTGAGCAAATAATATAAAGGCCTTCCAATATTCACCAGCTGGAGATACAGTGCTGCAGATATAGCAGTTTGAGCAAGAAAACAACCACAATAAAAGATCAACCCAAATGTTCTTAAGGTACAATCAAAGTAGCATGGTAATGTCACATCATTTCTGTATCATTCTAATTGAGAACTAGATGTTTGCTTCTGATCAGACATCAGCTATGTCAGACATTGTAGGACTGCAGTGAATGACAGCAGAACAAATCTTCATGTATATGATTTTTATTTCAAATACTTTGAAAGCAGTTTTGTTATAGTTGATCAAAACATAAAACTTTAATAGAAGTAAGATGTTCTTATTTTAAAGTGGGATTAGATATTTTTTCAGAATCCGTTAGTAAAATAATAGTATGTTAGAAACAACATTTGTAATAAGTTTTCAATAACAGTTTTGTTAAAAATATTATAAAATGTGATTATATAGTGAGAAAGTATATATAATGTGGAGCTGTAGAAAAAATGGCTCTAAAATCAGCTTATGTTTCACTAAACAATTGCTAGAAATGCTAGGCTTGCTAGGAATGGTTCCAGCTTCACTAATCAATGAGGAGGCTAAAAAATGCTCATTTCTGGTAGATTGCACCCACTGTGGCTGATTCATGGCACTCTCTTGTCTACAGTCTCTAACCTTTGAGTATTTCTTGTAATTTTGGGGGGAAGGAATTCTAGTTTAGTTTCACATTTGTAGCTCATATGAATGGTTCTGTCCAGATCTATGATAAGGTTGCTTAAAAACTACTGTGCAACGGAACTGCAACCATGATATCTTAACAGACAATTTATAAATAATCACGTTACAAAATGCTCTCCTGTCTTTTGTTCACAGGATGTTGTTTTCCCTCACTAAGGCTCATGCAGCACATAGGGCATGAAAATAAGAGAGAAACATTCTCCAAAAAGGATGGCAGATTCATCATATGGGGTAAAATGCTTATAAGAGTCACATTTTGCTATGGACATTTTCATCACAGAAACCGATTAGGAAAACTCTTCAGGAGCATTTGTGCATGCCCTTGCTCCAAAGGGCTAAGCACCTAGGTCCCGCCTGTTGTACACCTTCTTACTAGTTGATGGCAAGTCTGAGTTGAAATATGTTATGTGCTCATATAGTACACAGTTAAGACTCATGAAATAACTACATCAGACAGTCACGGTTTGCCTCTGCCAAAGACCTGAAGTGGTACTTTGATGACCTCCCTTAGGCAGGCTGTAACCCTTATTTCCTCAAGTGGAAGAATCCACTCACTGTGTCTATTCTGTAAACATTTTGACTGGTCCTTCAGTGCTCTAGCTCTCCCAGATGCAGTAAAACATCCCAGATGAAAATTTTTGTGTAAATAGCGTGTACAGATATCCTCTGGGTAAGAGTGCAAAGGGAGCTCTCCAGATTTCCCCAGAAGGCTCTGATACAAACTTGGCAAGGGAGCAGAGCAGTGTAGACTCACCTCCTGGTAGTTTATTTCCTTGTGTTGTGAAAAAGGCCAGCGTATGAAAACTTAGATGACATCCTTGCCCACGTCACTGAACCTCTAAATCAGCTTCTTAGCTACAGGGGCTATGTATGCCCTATGCATCAGTTGTGTAGTCCCACAAATATCTTGAAGTCCATATCACTCCTGAGACCTAACTTCATATCCATATAGTTGCTGTATGGACTCAGGTGAGACCTGCTGCCCGGCTTCGGCACCGGGAGGGACCACAGCTACTCCAGCCCCTGCAGCCCCGCATCCTGATGGCACCTGCTGCCTTCCCTGCACTGCACTGCCTGCCTCCTCCCTGCCTGCCACTGCTTGAAACGCAGCATCCGCCGGCCTCATCACGGCCGCCTGGGTAAGCGGTCACGGGTGGAGGCAAACACCCGGCTTGGCCCCTCACTGCCAGGCTGCTGAGTGGTACTGGCCATGGCGCTGGGCACACGGGGCTGGAATGATGCCACGGCACCCACTCTGTACTGCAAGAGGTGCTGGAAGAGGACCGAGTTGTCACAGGGACAACCTCCCACCTCCCCCAGGGCACGCTGGGGCGTGCCGGCCATGGGGGCGGTGCAGCGCTGGCCATGGGGGCAGCACAGCCCTGCCCCAGCAAATATAGCTAAAGGTGGGGCTCTGCCACCCCTGGAGAGCCAAGAAGGGGAAATGAGTGCATTAAGTAACCTGCCTTCACGCTCCCGCAACTGCCCTCCTTTCTTGTACATACCTGACACTATTCCAGTAAAGGCACTTGGTGAAACCCCTGTCTGTGTCGTGCCTGTGAGCCCAGTCCCCCGGCAGCAGGCTGGACCCCCAGAGAGGAAGGCAGCACCAGGGTCTGCTCTAGCCAGTCCAGTCCTGGTCAAATCAGAGGTGGGAGTAGATTCTTTTAATGATAATTACATCTCTGAAAGGGTCTAACAGCAGCTGATTGTCAGACTTGTACAGTTTGTTTAAAAATATAAAATCTACGGAGGCTCCTATCTGTTCTGGTGCAGCCAGCACCTGCCTGTGCCCGGCCCCTCACACGTACTGCTTCTTCTTGGTGGCTGCCTTGCTCGCCAAGTCCTTGGCTTTCTCTGTAGCAGCCAGAGCTGTCTCCTTGGCTTTCTCGGTCGCTTCCTTGGCTGTCTCCACCAGTGTTTTGGACGGAGCTTCTCCTGTAACATGGAAGCTGTTAACCCAGCCCCAGCCGGCCCCCGCCCAGCCCCGGCACGGGAGCGCCGGCTGATGCAAGCTAGACCGGCCCCGTCACCTTGGGATGTAGGCAATTTCCCCACGGAGAGGAGAAGCTGAGCCCGGTGCTCCTGACTGGCATGTGTCAGGGCACGTCACGAAGGGGAACTGCAGGCACGTGACTGCTGCTGCGTTATGTCCCTCTCCTGCCTGCACTCCACCCCTGCCCAGCCCTGTAAGTGCTGCCTGGCTGCTCCGCTCAGGAACAGCCGGCTGTGCCAAGACGTGGGGGCAAAGGCAAGGGACGAGGATTTCATAGTTGGATTAGTTCAAGCCATGACCTGCCCACGGACTGGAGTGTTCCCAGTGTGACCTGTAACTCCAAGAGACCCATCCTGATCAGCCCCTGCCTGCCCTCGCATGCTCACCTTGCATTCTTGCTAGCACGTATTCAAATCCCTTAGTGCTCTTGGTCACGTTGCTTTTGAACCTGGCCAGACCAAACTCCTGGAAAGGAAGAGTCAGTGAAGGTGCACGCCCAGCTCTCTGGTTACACACAGCCCCTGGGGCGTTGTCCCAGCTTGACCAGTCCCAAACATCTGGTGGGCTCATGCCCACCAGCTGTGATGGTTCCAAGTGCCCCAAGAGCTCAAGAGGATGGGGGTAATGAGGGGGAAAAGGCAGAAAAAACAGCACAGGGAAGGGGTAGAGCAGGGGGGAACAGCAGCTTTAAGGCCTCTCCAAAGAGGGGAGCATACAGTGCTGCTCGAGCAGTTGGCAGCACTCACCTGGACGGCCCGGGAGACGCCAAACAGGCTGGAAGAGACCCAGGCTTCCCGCTTGACCTCGGTCCAGTTGCTATTTTCTGGGTTCACCTGGTACACACAGCGCTCCTCCACCACCTGCACAAGGCACAACCTGGTTGTGGGCACTGGCCGGTGGCTGCCACAGGGCTGCACACCTGCCTATGGGCACCTACCATCAGACGTGCGTGGTTGATGTTCCAGGTGAATGTGGTCATGGTTCGGTTCTTGGGGTCCACGATAGAGTCCTCCAGGATGTAGACGGAGTGGGCGACATTGGCCGGGAAGAAGCGCTCCGCCCAGCGGGGCATCCGGTTGGTCTTGGTCAGGAGCCGCCGGGAGAGCAGCTTGTGGTCCGCCGTCACCTCCCGGTGCACGATGTCTTCAGTCAGGACATGTTTGCTAAAATGGGGAAGGGGAAGAAAACATCAGGCTCTGCTCTCGGCCAACAGCCCCCGCTCCCGGGAACCACCAGGCACTGCAGGGGCGGGGATGAAGGCTGTGGTATCGAAGAGGAACCAGCAGCCCGCTGAGACTCGGAGGTGGGGGGGG